TATTTAATAATAATAATAATAACACATATGTCACTAAAAAGTTCTTAATAATCTACAACATTCATAGCATGGTACACAAATTACAAAGTCACTATCACTATTTTCTAAATCACTAATATACGCTAAACCCCAATGCATAATTAAATTATAATAATAATAGCTACGTAACAAAAAAAATTACTAAGTCATTACAACACTCATAGCATGGTACAAAATTCCTAAGTCACTATCATTATTTTCTAAGTCTTTAATATACACTAAACCCCAATGCATAATTAAATTATAATAATAATAGCTACGTAACAAAAAAAATTACTAAGTCATTACAACATTCATAGCACGGTACAAAATTCCTAAGTCACTGTCATTATTTTCTAAGTCTCTAATATACGATAAATCCTAACATATTCGTAACGTAGCACTATAATTTAAACGTATAAATAGTAGGTATTAGGAACTTACCTAAGTTGGCAGAGCTTTGCTACAAAAAATTCCACAGACGGTTGAGAGCACAACTTGGTTAGAGAGAGGTTAGGGTGAGAGTGAAATGGTGAAAATGGGGAAATGGGGGGTTTTTATAGGGTGGGGGGTGACACCCTTTTTGGGCATCACATGTCACGCCTGGTTTGGGCATGACCCACCAGGACGTGACGCCCTCTTTAGGCATGATATTGTGCAATAGATCCATATTTTTTTTAAAACTGTAATAAATGCGTAATTTTTTTTATTAAAAAACATTATATTAATTTTTTTGCCTAGTGAGAGGATAAAGGTGTTAATGGAAATAAAATTTGAGACAAACGACAAGGATCATGTTACATGCCATGTAACACAATCTCGTTAGTTGTGTTTAGGGGTGTGCGTAACTCAATTGGTTACATCACTTGGTAGTTGCACACCCCCTATACCAAGGGCAGACCTAGGGAGGGGCTAGGGTTGGCGGCCACCCTCCCTAAATTTTATTTTATTTTTATTATTATATATAGAAAATAATATTTTTGTTTTATAGTGGTCCTAAGTTCGAACCAGAGTATGCAATTGTGTTAAAAACTTGGTGGGAAGAGTTTTACCGCCTTCATGATCTTGCTTAACTCAAATCCATATTAGTCGGCACCCTTTTACGATCAAATACCAGATAGTTTATATAGGGGGAAAAAACCGCTATGAAACAAAAGGATAAAATATCAATTACTATGACATCTATTTCACTCTCTGTAGATATCTCAACCCACAATGTTATACACAACTTTTGATACATAACTAGCCACTCTGTAGTTTCACATGATTTTTTCGGTACTCAACAAAATTTCATTTGATTTTTGTCATCTTATTCAGTTTCTTCTTATGCCTACAACTCTATATAAGTGTTCATTTATTCCTAATTAATTGAAAGTTGAAAAATGAATTTGGCATAAAATCAAAACCAAAAAAACTCAAAATAGGTGATGTACTTCACTACAAATTAAGTAAAAGGCTTTAGGCAAAAGCACCGTACTAAGAATTTTTTGTGAAAGATTTTCCAACTAAAAGCATATTTAATAAGTTTTGTCAGACTAATGCAGTCAAACGCATCAAAAGATATGACGGGACCAGTCCCGTTAGATATTATTATGGGACTACTGGTCCAGGTCAGATTCTGCAGGCAGTCCCATAGGAAAAGCTAACGTCATGGACATTGACGACACTCCCTCTCCACATAAGTTGTGTGTCAGTTCGGTCAAATTCATTGACGAAACCAAACTAGTTAAACAAAAGTAATAACGTCAAATTGTTTGACGATATCCATCTTTTCCATGCTAATTCTCCTATATCAATTTGGAGGATTCAATTAGAATTATATTTTAATTTTTTATACTTTTGGTAGGAATAATTTTTTTAAAGTTACTACGTAGTTATTTTAGGTAACTATAATAGAATTAAAGTCCTACTAGAGTACTGTAAGCATTAATCAAGTTTTATTATGCTAATAAAATAACTTGAAAAATAATTTAATTGAAAAAATTTATTTTGACACAACTTATGCTTATATCATCAGGACAAATAAAATTATGTTATGTACTTTTAAATTATTTTATTGAATACAAAAATAAAATTTTAAATAAACAATTTAAAAGCATTGAAGTTTGAATGTTAAGAGTCAATTAAACTAATAGTTATACACTTGTAATGAGAGATAACTTGGAATTTCTAAAAGTTAAATGAAAATAGAGTAGGTAAATTTTTTTGAATGTTAACAGTCAATTAAACTAATAGTTATACAATTGTAACGAGAGATAACTTGGAATTTCAAAAAATTAAATGAAAATAGAGTAGGTAAAAATTTTAATTAAATTATTTTTCAAGTTATTTTATTAGCATAATAAAACTTAATTCAATCAAAATATAATTCTAATTGAATCCTCCAAATTGATAGCATGTAAAAGATGGATACCGTCAAACACTTTGATGTGATTACTTTTGTTTAACTGGTTTGGTTTCGTCAATGTATTTGACGAGACTGGCAGACATTGAGCTGATGTGAAGAGGGAGTGCTGTCAATGTCCATGACAGGTCTGGGTGTCGTCAACTTTTTCTACGGGACTGCCTGCTGAATCCGACGTGGACTAGTAGTCCCGTAATAATATCTGACAGGACTGGTCCCGTCATTTCTTTTGACTTGTTTGACTGCATTAGTCTGACAAAAGTTATTAAATATGCTTTTAGTTGGAAAATGTTTCACAAAAAATTCTTAGCACGGTGCTTTGAAATAGAATAAATTATTTTTTTAATATCTGTTATATTACCTTGTAAGTATTTATATTCATAATATAATATTTGTTATTTTCACCTCATTATTAAAAGTTATGGGTTTCTCACTGTCCTATATGTAACTAGTTGTGCATCCCTCCAATTGATTGCATTATTTTGAGAAATAGTTTCAAATTAGCATTATTTGGTTTTTTATTTTATTTTATTTTATTTTCCTTCCTTTTGTCATTTTGCTCACCGGGGATATGATAAGATCAAACTTACTATAGGAGGAAGCAAGTACACCATGCGGCTTGATCACGTGGAACTCGCTATCCTCCGTAGCGAGTTCAATCTTGTTATACCCCCTAGCAAGTTCCTTAGGATCATGCAATGTGGTGGCATCCATCCCAAATTTCATTATATTTCTTACTTTTATTCTCTCATTCCACATAAGTATTAACTAAAGTTATAAATAATAATTAAGATGATAAATAACAATTATTATTTTTAAAATTTTTATTAAATTCATTTAATTAAATAATAATGAATACCATAATAATCCTCATTTGTTTGACGCGTTTTTTAGAATTATTACAAATTTAATAACATGAAATCTGTTATTAATAATAATAATTTACAATGAAATTCTTTCCATTTTGATTGAATTAATCTAAATATTTTATATTATTTAGTCATAATTAAAATTATTTGTTTTTGCTTGAATTGAATTCCTTATGTAATATGGTAATATTTCATGAATAAATCAAGTATTTATTATTTATCTTGCATGATATTTCATAATATCTACAATTTTTAAAATATCAAATTTATTGTCAATGATTATATAATTTTTCTTTCCTATATTGCCTGAAGATTTAAAGTATTTGATATCATTTAAGTAGGGTGAGTGATACATAATTGCTTGAATGCAAGAGTTATTTGTGGAACATTATAATAATTATTAAATAATTTTAATTTATTATTAAATGATATAAAATATTGGAATTCTAATAGAAAAACAAAAAATAAATAATCCTCAAATCATTTGCTAATAAACTTAATATTTTTCAATTATCAAGAATTTTGAAAATCTCATCAAATGAATTAAAATTACTTATGATATTAATCATTATTTGACTAAATAAATTTGATATTATTTTTTAAAATAATAATTGGTATGTAGACTATCTTTTTTTTTTGTAAGCTTATGTAGATTATCTTAACTACTTTATATATGGTGTATATATATAATTTATGATGATAATTAATACTAACGTGTGATAAAATAGCATTAATTAAAATATAAATTCCTGTTCAGAGACATAAATTATTTTAAAATAGCATTAATTTTAATGAAATAAATTCCTGTTCAGATCACCCAGCTTGGTCAAAAGAGCTAAAAATATAAATTAATAATATGAAGTATTTCTTCTTGAAAAAAAAAGGGTTACATGAAATCTGACACTCTAAGAAACATTAACGAATTAAACAAGTCATTATAAATCCCAGAGTCTTGGACATTCTTCATCAGGAAACATTTCAAATTGCACCAAGCAACCCTTGACTCAGATTTGCGGGCCTTTCTCTCTCAAGGGGTGACAAGAACTTTTCCGGTTAGGAAACTTTACTCCAAATCCGTAACTGATTACAGGGAAGTTTTGCATGCCCATCTCTAACAGGGGAAGATCACATTTAGTCATTTAGATTGATTCCATCCCCACTATCCTTGATTAGACTCATCAATAACATGCTAAGCAGGGAAAGTTCCCAATCACTGACACCACCACTTCATTTTACCGCAAACCCACGAATGCTTTTGCCAATGGGTTGCTAATATCATCTGTGGCCACTAACTAAAAGATTCCAAACCAACCTTCCAATTTTTGAAAAACAGGAGAATCTTGCCCCATAATTGGGGGAACATCAACTTGATCAAAGGCAGCCATATGATCAAAGAATGGATGTGGGTCCCAGTTACCCCAACCCAATTACCACGTAAACGCCCATAAAAAAATCGTTCGTTTTTTTAAAGGCGGCTGACCTACTCTCTGTTTTCGAGAACCAAATGTCTCGCTTTCCTGCAATCCAATTGTAAATCTACACGTGGACATGATGTCGACCCAAACTTTGACCAACCCCACTTTAGCCGGCTCAAGCGGGTCTCAAAAGCTCTTGTCACCTCCATTACCAAAATCACAAGTAATATTCAGAAAATTCACTTTAAAAAATTAAAAATTATATAAAGAAAAAAAGTTGAATACGAAATAATTGTTGCACAGGGTTAAGATACAAGACTTAATAAAATCTATTATTAATTCACCATTCCATAATTAGGCAGTCCACTTGTAAAGAGTACATTGTCACTATTTACACCCTAACCCCAAAACTAAAGTAGAATTACTCTATAGATAAACCAAACATATATTGTTCCTCATCATCTTTAACTTTGTTTGAAAGGAACTTGCTTATTTTGCTACACCATTCTTTTTTTCTCAAACTATTTCACACGTCTTATTTTCTACTTTCTCAACCTTTACCACTTCTATTTTGATTTTTCCTATATACACAAACGCTATTAACCACTAGGGAACAGAGAAGGGAACAATCCCAGCACCGGCCTTTTTCAGTATAAAGCTCGGGTATTGGAACTGGTGAACGACATGGAGAAACTTGCATTTTTTTTTTTTTTTTTTTTGCAAATATATGTGAGGCCATTATAGCCATAACCTAAAACTAATAACTGTCTAGTACTCTATGACTAGCCCTCCCATTGGGGCACGGTGTGGTATTCCCTTTCTTCTCTTGGCTGTTCTGTAATTAACTGAAGTTGGGGGTGGTGTTGAAGGAGTGAAGCTCTGCAATTTGTTATTCTTCAGTCTGCCATGGCTGCTACTGCTGCTGTATGAATTCTCAGAGTCTGATGACATTGCCGCTGACTTCTTCTGAAAATTCCTTGAAGTTCCAACAATCTGCAATTCATAGTTGAATTGATTAATATTTAACTAAAAAAAATTCAAATGAAGAATCAAAGACTAAATTGAATTGAATACATACATAAAGATAAAGTGTACATGTTGAAATCCCAAAATTTCAAATATTGGGCACAGCAATGAATTAAAAAACCTACATTAGCATTCACGGGTATAAGAAAAGTCAACCCATCTTAAGTGCTAGCTTGAAAATAAGGAAAATTAAAAAAAATTAAAAAAATAAAAACCATTTTTATGAGAACTTTTCTTCTTGAAAATGCTTAGAAGGTTAAATACCTTGCACCCCAGAGAACAGAATCGGTAGGAATCAAGAAGGCTACGTTCACAGACTTCACAAGTGTTGGTGACTCCTTTCCCAGGCCTTGGCTGAGGCCTCTCATTCAAGAACACAACCCTTGCACTGTTGATAATGTAGGTTTGGACCCCTGTGATGTCCAACACCTTCTGAATCTCATTGACCCTAATCACATCATGGTATGAGGACCTCCTTATCTGTCAACAACAATCAAAATATTAAAAAGTACATTAGAAAGGGATGGTAATTTGTTGCATTGAAAAGCTAACACTTTCCATTGTGTGTGATTACTTATACTCCATCCCCTGAATTGTTAAACGCAGAAACTTGAAATTAACCAAAAAAAAAAAAAAACACTAAATGGGAATTTGTCATCAAACAAAGGGGATATGGAAATTAAAAGCAGAACCCAATTGATGAAAGTTCAAATCAAAGCAGAGGAGGGGGAAAGGGGGGACTTTTCAACCAAGCTTCAAGAAAAGAACTAATCAGGACCGCCACAAAAAGGAAAAAAAGTGATAGTTTTGACAACAATGAAAGGAAGACCCTGAAATATGTCACAGGCTATAAAAATACAAAATAAAATTTGTTGAAAGTTGAAAACTTTGATAAATTCATCGGCAGTGATAGTAAGCAAACCTGGATAGCACGGTGATCTTTGTGGTAAGCGAGACAGAGAGAGCATAGAGCACCATTCATACAATCCAAACAATACATATTACACTCGCTCTTGTGTGAATCAGCGTGCAACTTGCATTGAACGAAGAAGCTCTCTTTGAGCAGAGGCTTCAACCATGGCGGCCACCTACTATCCTCATCATCAGGACCTCCAGCACCCTATTCATAAAACAAAATTTTGAATCATAATCAAAAACGCAAATAAAAAATACTTTCCACAAAAACAAAAACAACAAGAAAAAACAGAGCACACACAGTTAGAGAAGGCTTAGTGAAACTAGTGTGAGAAAATGAAAAAAAGGGAGAGCTTGGATTACCATGATTCTCCTGTTTTTGGGCTTGATTTCTCGGACAGTGGTATCTTGGTTCTCGAACGCCAGTTTGTAGACACTGATTGGACACTGTTTGTGTCTTTAGGATTGGATGTGAAAAAGTCGGGTGAGTGTATTTTTGTGAAAATGAATTATAGAAGAGAAAGAAGAAAGAAGAAGAAGAAAAAAAATAAAAAAGGAACAAGTGGGTGTGTTTTGTGAAGAGTTTTGTCTTTAGAAGAGTGAGGCGGTGTGAGAATTGAATGGGTTCTTGTAGGACTTGGAGGCGGTAGATGGTGTTGTTTCTTAGAGAGAGAAAGAATATGAGTGAGAAGGGTCGTTCTTATCCGCACAAAGTCTACACGACCAAACCTAGCTCCGAACCCAAAGCCAACAGATGCCAATGTGTGTAAGGAACCCACCTTCCATCTTTCCTTTTCAATTCCTTTCATTTTCATATTCCCCTTGGCCTTATCAAATTTTATTTTTTCCTCCTCTAGTTTTTATCTAATTATTTAAAGGCTCTGTTGCCCCTCATTATTAGTGATTAACGCATTTTTTTTGGCTATTATTAAATTGGTCGTGGGTTTAGGGCACACCTGTTTAGCCCACCTGTTTAATAAACTAAATTGGCATATACTATTTCTTTTTAGGAAATTATTAATCTCATGTTACTTGAGATAATTTTTTCATGTGTCTGAGATAAATATGTGGGAGATAAATATGTGGGATCCACACTTTAAAACAAAAGAAAAAATAAAAATAAAAAGTTGACACAAAATTGGATGAGTATATAACATAAGATAGCTATCTCCAACGACGTGAGAAAAATATTTTCCTTCTTTTTATTATTCTAGTTTAATGGTTATGCTTTTTAATATGTGTACTTTGGGCTTCTCATAACCTTGACCTAATGCAACTTGAATTGGTTATTAACATTAAAATCTTTTCAATTTGCGATGTGTTGGCTTATCTATCTGGAGGTTTTGTTCATACAATAAATATACAACCTTTAGCCTTGGCTATCCCTTGTCAAATTCCATCACAATTCTTTGTTTTTTAGTATAAATTGTTGATAAATTAGTCAAGCCGCAACCAACGTAAACTCTCTTTGGGAAGAGAATGTTTTTCATGATCAAAATGCTCATTCGACCAACAACCAATGTAAGGAATTATATAAGTTTGAACCAACTCTATGGAATTATTATAGAGATTAATATTTTTCATATTGTAAGAGATAGTTTTATCTCTTACATATATATAAAAGTGTGTGGAGTTTATATTTTCTTTTTTTCTCTCTTTTTTTCTCACGGGTCCACATGAACCCTATATATTTTTATGTGTATGTAGAAGATAAAATTATATACTACAACATGAGAAATACTAATCTCATTATTATAATATGAAACTTAATGAATAAGGAAAAAAAAAAAACAAAGATGCATCTGGTTGGCCCTAATAATGATATGATGGATATTTTTTACTTTTAGAAACAAACTTTGCTCTAAAAAAAGAAGAAGAAGAAAACGATCACATGGAAACTAGTTGATTTAGTAAGACTAGAAACACTCTCTGTGAGCAAGCCAATTAGCATATGGAAACTTTTGAAGGAGAAAGATAACATGTTAATCAATTTTATTTTCTGTATATTTGGTAGAAATCCACTAAGACATGAATTATTAAACGATTTCCCATCAACAATTATTGTATGAATGGCGAAAATTGATTTTCAATTGTGTCAATGACTTGATAGAAGACCAAATTTTTTTAGTGGCCCTGCCAATACGATGCCATCATGTTTCAGCAAGATCCTTTTTCTCTTTTTGTAATCAGTATAAGACAAGAAACTAGCGATTACATGTTAAGTAGTTGGAAGTTGCTTCCTAAATCTCAATTACAAATATCACACGTGAGAATTTTAGTATAGACTATAATTTTTTATTTTTTTTACTAAAATATTTTTTATTTGTCCAGGTTAATTAGAGGTGGAAATAGGTTAAATGGTGTATTAGAGTCTATATGACATGTCTCGCAATTAGGTTTTGTTCGATTTGGGTGGATCGAGAATATTCACCCGATGGGTAATGACTTAATGTGAGATTTGTACCCTCATAAGTATCTATGAGAGAGATACTGCAGGAGTGTGTAGATAACAATATACTAAATAATAAATGGCATAGGTGCGTAGCCAAGTTGTAGGTGTATGCACATTAACGACTAAAGTAAAGATTGGCAAAGAGTGTATATTGTTAGAAATTTTCTTTTATGTAGACAATATTAATTAATTAGTATTCTGTTTTAAAATTAATCAAGTTAATAAATATTTCGATTGTATTATTTTGATAAGCCTGTTATGATCTCGTTGAGTTGAGTTTTTGGCATCTGTTGGTATTAGGCCTAGTTGGGCAGCAGTGTAGGCTTTAGTGTCACCCTAATTTTTCATTATGGGTGGACCCAGTGGACACAAACTCTTTTCAGAATATTTGGCTAGGTCCCCTCTTTAGCCTATTCATATTAGGATTAAGTCACATGAGCCATGATGCTCTCATCGCATTGAGGCTGCCACTTTTGGAATAGGTTATAGAAAGGAAGATCTTGGCATGTAGTCACCCTTTCCTCCGGCTTTCTGATAGCCCAACAAGGTACGCACAATTGTAACTTTGATTTCATATTATTTCGGTATTTTATATGATCTAAGAATTATAAATATATCATTTGGTATCAGAGCCTTATATATATGATTATAGAATCCATATTGATTGGAATCAAGAAATTGGGATTTTTGTTTATAATGGTTGAAACTTTATGCTTTGATTCATAAACTCATTCAATTGAACTGAGTACCTTAGGGCTTTTATTTTACATGCCAAGATCCTTCTATTGATTCATGAAATATGCATTTTTGGTGAAGTATTCAAAAGAGAATTTGTGTTCTTAAATTTTAGGGTTCACAGTTTAAAGAAAAAAGAAAGGGTCATCATCTGATCACGATAAGCTGAAAACATTCATTTTTTGTTGAAACGAAAAGTTCAATTATTTTTTATTATTCAAAATATTTGAATAAGTCAAGTTTTATTTGTTTTACGTCTTTTCTAATGTGCTTGACTTCCATCGATTCTGTTGTTACTATTTTTTTACCGTTTGTTAAGTTTTTTTTATTTAAATAAAAAAAACTTATTTATTGGTTCCACTCAATTCACAGTCACACCTAGAGCTGGCAAAATGGGCCGAGCCCGCCGACCCGGCCCGTCCCGTCCGCAAAACGGAGCGGGACGGGCTGGGCTGAGTTTTCTAAACCCGCTGCCCGCCAAGCCCGCCAGCCCGCCCGGGCTGACTTTTTTTTTTTTTTTAATTTTTAGTGTAAAATGTGACGGGCTTGGCGGGCAGCCCGCCCCGCCAGCCCAAACGGAACGGGGCGGGCAGAGATATCTAGCCCACCTTCAATGGCGGGGCAGAGCGGGCCAGCCCGCTTTTTGACGGGCTTAGGCGGGCAGCCCGCTTTACCACCTCTAATCACACCATTATGGATTTGTTGCATATCCTGGTTACGTTGTTTTCGGCTTTTGCGCACAAGAAGAATTATTACATCATGACAATTTTCTTGTTTTTTTTTTTTTTTCACGGATTTGAAGGCAAACAATTATATTTCTCATTGAATGATGTTATTCTTTGAGATGTGCGCAACTTTCATTTATGTACTGTCTTCTGCTTGAATATGTTAAGCACGTGAATCATTTTTTGAAATCTGATTATTATTATTTTTTGTTTTGTTTTTGTTTTGGATTTTGTTTTTATTTTTTAATACAAGAAAAATATATGTACCCTCTGTTCCGATTTTATATATTTTTGAAACGATATTATTGTTGGTCAATAAATATATTGGCCAGTTCCCAGTTTGTTCTTCTATAATATTTTAAAATTCACTAGTACATTCAGTAATAATATCCATTCTGCATTATTATTTAAGTTGATCTTTTATTTATTTGTTTATTTTGAATATTATATCACGCAAAATATTATTTTGGTACGCAATTTTGATAATTGTGGTTGATAATGAGTGAAATATTTTCTTTTATATTGAAAAATGAAAAGTAGTTGAATATTATTGGATATGTGCTACATATGAATTTGTGTTATTCTTTGCGTTTAAAAGTGAGGAAAAATTCAAGCTTTCAAGCTTGAAAGTGGCCTGATGAGGAACTCATTTGTAAAATGGGTCGGCCTTCTAAAGGAAGAAGAAGACTTATTTGGGTTTGTTACACACATCTTGTTAGTATATGGATGTCCTAGAGACAATCTTTTGATTAGATTAGGACATATGTAGACCTTTTATATTGTCGCAAATAAAAGCACTATTTATCCTGTTTCATATTTTGTCTCAATATTACTATTAATATTTATATGAGTAACTGGATAAACCCCTTGGAATAAAATAGGTATCTCTTGAGTATCTGTGATGAGATCACGATAATGAGGATTCAAGGATACTGCATGTTTATTCCTAATTTTATATTCCTAGTCTAGAGACACTGAGAATGGGGATCAGTGATCTCGGGTAAGACTAGCACAACTTATCTACTTGTATTTGGATGCAAGGTAAAGACCTCATGAGCTACAGATATGGAGATGTCTTAGCTAAAGTCGTGGGTGGACCTATAAGGGTATAGCTCGCAGTGAACAGACCCACAAAGAGACTCTATGAGGAACTCTCACAGAGAGTATCATTAGAGTAGTCTCTTTATATTTGGGTATGTCTTTCCTAAGACCAAAAGTTATTACCTAGACTGTGTTCTAGAAGGCATGCTTTGATTGTGCACCTCGTCTGCCTGAAACATGGAGACTCATAGGTATACTGTCGGGCTTGTCCTGAAAGAACACAGGGCTAGGGTGATAAGCTGAAGGAATTCGTCAAATCTCTGTGAGAGATTAGGTTATCTGTAAACCGGAGAAATCGGGATGACATTTACAGGGACTCGGGAATCTATGCATAGTAAAAGAGATCATGAGATGATCTGTCTTTAGAGTCTGTAAATTGAAGATTCCCTATTTCGAATAAAGCTTACCCTAAACCGCAGGGGTTAATACGCTTCCTTACCCTAGGTTTTATGGGAAGTTAACCGAGACGAAAGGAAATATATACGGCAACAAAATATGTATAATAGGATGATCAAGTCACTAATCTAACTAGTTTTGGGGCAACAAAGCATTGTTAGTGCTTTGTGTTGTCATTAAATGGGTTTTGGGCTTATTGGGCCCAAACCCATTTATGTCAGTGGCTATGTTGGACCTAATGGGTCAC